TCAGTACTTGTCGACAGCACCCCACCCCTCCCTGAGTACTAAAGGTGTGCCTCCCCCTTATAAAATGGTCCAAAAAATCGTCTAAAAAATCGTCCAAAAACTAGTCCAAAAAGTCGTCCAAAAAATCGTCCAAAAAAATAGTCCAGTCCAGTGTATATTTTACCCTATGCCCGTTGCAATTAGTACCCGCTTTTGTATTACATCATACTGTAAATATTTTATTCATCTACTTGTCTGTTATATAATTACACACGTTCTGTTACTCATTGATTGAAGATGGCATAAGCATGCCGAAACATATCTCTCAAAAAAGTTGTCTACTTCTTACTATATTTATAATACTTGCTACTACTACGACATTATAAAAAATCATAGTAATGCAGTTCTTTATCACTGATCTTGTGCTTTTGGCATGTATTCTGTACTCCTTGGTAAAGCCCAGACCATACTGTATACCTTGCACGCACCACCTTTGGGAATTTCTCGAGGATTAGTTCAGGTCCAAGAGATCTTAGTAAACCGAGAATACCGGCACTCAACCCGGCAGAATTCTTCGCCTAAGACCTTCGAAGTGTACAGATCTCTCGAAACCGTCTTGCGAGAAGTGTTCGGATCAGATCGATGAGAAGACACAAGGGCTTTGCACTGTAAATATTACGCCTGCTGGGCTCGTCTCTTTCGGGTGTGATAATCCCGTATTTAATCTCATTTAATCTCATTAAATATGTCATGGGCCGACTAGCTCAAGCTATCAACACCCTCGAGCTGGCACCTGGATAATGTGACAATTTTAATTAATATTCGAATGTCATGGTTTTTGGCCGCCAATTTTTTCCTTGCACATTCGTATTACAAACGCGTGATTCGGTAGTAGTAGAGATGGCACCGAGGAAGGTTTCTCGCCCTTCACTCGGGTCAGCAGTCCTGAATTAAGTCCACAATTGAGTTGGTAGAATCTTAGTTCCAAAGTTTGTGGATCAACGCAGACACAATATTTTAAGCGATCACTCAGTTTTCCAGGCGATTTTCAAAGAATCGACAGTGCCTACATTCGGCTGCAAGATGGCCGCCACTGCTCTAACAAGAAGTCTTCAAATGCAACAGAAATTTTCTGTTCGTCGATTGGGTTGATAACCACTCTGCTTCGCCGTTCTTCTTCGGAAAGCTCTGAGTTCATTTCGCAGCTGAGATATTTGCTGGACACAGTAGATCTCCGGAACATGCCAAGCAAACAAAGAACAACCACGTGCTTCATTGCGCTTAGAAATGCCAACGACACCAACGAACAAGACGTCGTCATCTGTGGCCATAACACCCCCAAACAGTGGAGACTCGCAGAGAGCTGAAAACAAGAATGTTTCCCCAAATCTAAAGAAAGTCAACGAAAAGGAAGATTTGGATTCTCCAGAAAAGGTGCTGTTGATGAAGCAGCGAAGCAGTCGCGTTACCAAGGACCGTCGTGCATTATCTGTGCGTAAGAAACAGGGAAAGTTTGGCGATGGTGCTTCGAAACATGTGCAGATTTGGTAACCCAGAAGCGAAATATTCAATTGGCAAATATTCCTGTGGAATTGAAGTTTGCCCGGCGGGTTCGTACAACTCGCATCCATTTTTCCGCTCTGACCTAGTTACAAGGCTCCGATGCAGAGAAATACCACTAGCCTTGAACTAAGCATCGATGTCCCGTCATTTTTGAAAATGTTTTTGTAAGAGTAGAGTTACTGTAGAGCACCTGTTATGTGACTTTTTACGCGTTGAGCCTTTGACGTCACTTCCTCTGAGTCCTGCATGCTGCAATCAACTTCCGGATCATGGTCAACTAATGACAGACGCGAAATCTCGAAATGTGGCAGGGTAGGTGAAGTAGACACAGTAAACACGAAAATGAAAAAACGATGTAAAAACATTTTTTCTCAGGGGCACTTTAAAAGTTGAAAATTATAACACCTACCCGTGGCATGAAATGAGAGTCCATATGCAGTGCAACAGAGTACAGTAGTTTAGTTTATTAATAATTTACGACACTTTGCGGGTAACTTTGGCCAGACTGCATTGAGCAGTTTACAATTTTTTAGAAGGAGATTTTTGCAAGTGCCCCCAAATCCGGAATCAAGGCCAAATCACAACACCGGGAGTTTCCTTCTCTACTCTTTGCAAGACCTGTTTGGGTTCTTTAACGTTCCCTCTGTTAACCAGTACAGATAAGATGCGGGAGAAGGGCCTTCTGTTTGTCTTCCTTACCCGAGAAAAGTAGAACGTCTTACCATTTGTAGAACTCATAGCAAAGGCATCACATTCTCCTCAGTTATTTTAAGAACTCGAGTGTTAGTCCAATCAGGTGTTTAAACTCTCGACTCCCTCACGAAAGTCCAGTACTCCACCAACTAAGCTCGCCGGGCCGCGGTTATATACTCTAGCATCGATTAAAAATACAAGTTTCTCACAAATATAATCATCATTCAAATGTCAAGTTGAATTTCGTTTGGCTGGTTCAGAAGACGATTGCATTTTTCATTAAAGAGAACAAGTCATCCAAAAGTCTATAGAAGTTAGTAAAGGCTCATAGTTTCGAAAAAAACTGTTTGGGGCTGCGTCGGTAGGGATAACGAAATAAATTGGATATATCAACAAAGTTGAAATGGTAAATTGGCCACCGTAACGATTACAAAATCTGACGTTTCGAGCGTTAGCCCTTCGTCGGAGCGAAGAAGAAGTTACTCAAGAGCTTTTCAAGTAATGAGATTTTCTCTTTTGACAAAGTATAGGAAGACTCTACCCCGTCTAAGCAAATGTAAATCTCATTTTTTCCTGAGGGGACTCAAAGGAGGAAACACCATCATTGATATAAATAGCAATTGAAATAATTTTTGCCACAAACGAACTATTGAATTTATCGTCACTAAAAGGTACACACGGGCAAGTCTCAAGTACGTTAGTCCTTTCGTGTTGATTTAACTGTTTTATAGTGGTATTTAAGAAAGATGCACAATATGTGGCCTCTATTGACTATTGTTCTTTTCCTTGCCGTCTGTGAAATTTTCTGACAAACCGTTCATAATTCAAATATAAAAACAAATTGCAGATTGGGGGATTAAGCGTTAAATCTAACTTAAGAAGAATCTAAAGGAAAACGAACGTAGATTGTGTAAAAAGGCTACTTTTAGACAATCCAATATTCGACCCAGTTACGTATGGTTAAGATTAACAGATATCACTAGATTATCAAAGTAAGAAGGGATTAACTTCTTAATTCTCTGGGAACGCTTAGAACATAAAGAAAATTTGGACAAAAATCACGAAAAAGCAATGAAACACTGGGTATTGTTTCAATTCATAATTTACTTGAGTGTGCTTTTGTGAACTGGCATGGAAAGCGATGTTGAAGAATGTTGGCTCTAAATGGAAAATTTTGATTAACCACTTATTCAAACAATTAATGACACGGGGCTTTTAGCAGCAAAAGCGTAGAAGTGCAAAGCGGATTTCTAATATAAACACCATCTACAATCGCCTGTGAATTCTTTAAAGTCCTCAGCCGGCACGTTCGTTCTTTGAAGACTTATTTACTTTATCAGAACAAAGACATTTTCGGGAATTCGAATATAAACATTTTTGAATCCATAATTAAGTGATGCTTTTGTTCTTGAACTGACATGGGGGCGTTCGGAACCAACAGTGTTTTTAATATCTAAACTTTGCTCATGTCCTCACAAATGACATTTCTTAACTTTGTCTTTTCAGGAAAGTTACCTGATTATGGAGTCACTGAACGAGTCTTCTTCGCGCAAATAAGTCTTAGACTACCTTTAGAGACACTGCGCTTGGCAAAATTCAATTAACGCAAAAATAGCTTGTGTCTCATGTTTATGCATTATAGTATGTGGAAAATATTTGGATGAATCTCCGTCCAAGCGTGAACGGGTTCTTAGTCGCTGAAACGCGTTGAAGTATGTTTATACCCAAGAGGGGTACAACATGGTAGACTCTTTGCTAAATGATTCTCTTGCAGACCCTATTAACGATGTTTCGACTCAGGATCCTCGATCAAGAGCTGGCGTATTCCTTCAAGCCGCCTCTATGGTGATTATAATACTTGTTGCGTTGGGGGGCAATCTACTCATTCTAGCGGCCATTTACATTGACAAAACTCTGCAAACAATTACGAACGTGTTCATAATCAATCTAGCCTGCGCCGATCTGTTACTCACTATGATCGGGATGCCTTTTACTCTCGCTTCATCCATCACGTATGATTGGATCTTCGGGAACAAATGGTGTAAGGTCAATGGTATGGCCAACTCTTTGTTTTGTATCGCTTCGATTCTCACGCTGGCAGCGGTGTCAATTGACCGATACTGTGCAATTCTCTATCCTTTCAAGTACGGTACGTGGATAACGAACAAGGTTGCTGCTGGAATGATTACTTATATATGGTTCCATGCCTTACTTATGGCTTGCCTTCCACTCACCGACTGGACACAGTACACTTTTATACGATCCGAGTCTATCTGCACTGTTGAGTGGGGCTACAGTATTTCTTACACAATATTCTTATTTTCCGTGTGCTTTTTCTTGCCACTTGCCGTGATGATGGTAACATATTTAAAGATATTTCGCACAGCCAAGATGCAATCGAGGAGAGTTGTTCCAGTTACGGGTTCAATTGGAGTGAAGGGGGAAGCCAGCTCAAGTGAATACTCTGGTTTGCGAGGCGATAGTCAATCGCATTTGAACTCTTCATCAATAGACCCATTTTCTATTTTATCAGTCAAGAATCAGGGTAAAAATCAGAGTTCGCTAAACAGCGACATGTACGACGAAAAATTAATATCAGGTCGTCAAACACCGGGAATAATTTACAATGAACGAAACGAGGTCACGGCATCATCATTTAAAATGACAAATACTGACGATCAACCCACTAAGGACTCTGGTTATGAAGAGGGGGGTTCGACGAGTTACTTAAAACCAAGGAGAATTTCGAGTGAATATGGAAGCTTAGGAAGGGAAAGCGTTTTGAATAGCAGTTGTGAAAGTATACAAGATTCAGTTATCGCTTCGAACGAACCAATCTGTTGCAACATACACGATCGACAGTGTGCGTCAACTCTATTAGACAGAACGTACGTGGACATGCTGCCTCCAAAAACAAATACTAACATCTTGAAAAGAAAAACTGGCGCCATTTATTTACCTCCTCTTCAAAATGTGAAAGGAAAAGAGGAAATGAAGGCAATTATGCAACATTTTAATCAACCTCGAGCGGATTTAGGAAATTTAAACAATTGCCAGTCAAGTGTAAACGAATCAACAAAGGACAATGACGTAAATAATATGAACGAATACCCTTCTTATCCTATGAAGAACGTTGATAACTTAGAAATAAGAACGTCTTGCCGGTCAAACAGCCTTTCAGTCGGGGCAATTGTACAACCGCGACAGACGAAAGCCCATAGTGTCTCAGATTTTCCCAGACAATCGTCGCAAATTCCTGTAGTTGTTTCTCAATCTGCATCACACAGTTCGTTTGCTTTCTCATCAAAAAGTTGTCAAGAGGGCGGCAGAGCTTCTCCCGCGACGCGTAGAAAGAAGCTTTCAACTGTTTCGATCTCCACTCTAAAGAACTTTGCGGGTCCAAACGCATTTAGAGCATTCAGCAAATCAAAACTTGCGCTTGATAAACTTCGGAAAAGGAAGGACGTACAAGCCCGAGCGAAAATGCGACGTGAAACCAAAGCTGCTAAGACTTTATTGATTGTAGTGGGCACGTTCGTGTTGTGCTGGACACCTCACTTTATAGGAATATTTTGCCTTTTATTCGAAGACTGTTCGTGGCCGGACGAATTCTTTGCTATCACAACTTGGCTCGCAATGTTGAACTCTGCCTGCAATCCTGTTATTTATGGAGTAATGAGTCGGCATTTTAGGAAGCGATTCAAACAGATTCTACAGTGTAAGAGAGGATTCTTTTGAAAGCTTCCTACACAGCATGTACGAGTAAGGATGACACTTGCATATAAGGTAATTAAATGAAACATTATGGTTCTGTCCTCGTGTACCGGTTCACAAGAGCCAATAGAAAAGACCAAACAATACACAATAGCTAACCGATAACTCCTAAACAAAGAAAGAACAATGGTAATTCCCTTGTGAACCGGTACA